TAGCTATCCCAAAGCATATAGTAAATTCAGAGTGTGATTTTTCTTACTGTCATTTATTATTATTATTTTTAATTGTAGAATTTATTTTTCATGCCACCCATGAATTTCATGTGGTTGAATTAATTCCCCCTTTTTATTGTTATGGTTGTCTATTTCAAATTTCACTTTATAGAGACTTGGAAAGGGAGGTCAGTTTTCCCTTCTCCATGAGCTGGGAGGAACCCGTGAGGAAACTGTTTAATTGGGTGCTTTGTAACTGTGTTACGGGAACTGTGAAGATCCTCCCCACCATATAGCAGAATGGATGTTAGTCCAGATTACAGTTCACATAAACTGAATGTCTTCATGTCCATTGTGACTAAGTTTGGCACAGTACCTCTACTTCAATATTTTTTAAATAAAAATAATTCATACAATATATTCCCTTTCCCGAATTCCTCCCAGACCTAAAATAAAATAAATCACGATTGGCTAGATACTGTTGTGGATGTTTCTCAGAAAATATTCAAAGTATTGTCTTTGGTTTCTGATAAAGTACCCTGTGCTGGTGAGTTTTTATATGAACTTGGCACAGGCTAGATTTTTTTTTTAAAGGAGAGGCTGTCAATTAAGAAAATGCCTAAGATTGCTCTATAGGCCAGACTGTAGGGCCTTTTCCTGATTGATGCTTGATGAGTAGCGCCACCTCTGGGATGGCAGTCCTGAGGTGTGTAAGAAAGCAGGCTGAGCAAGTCAGTCAGCAGCATCCCTCCATGGGCCCTGCCTCCGCTGCTCCCTTCAGGGTCCTGCCCGACTTCACTCAGCAATGGAGGGTGACCTGAGACTTGTGAGCTGAAATGAACCCTCTCCTCCCCAAGTTGTTTTTGATTTAGCATAGCAATAAAAAGTCAAAGACATCACCTTAGGAAAGAACATTTGTGCAAAATTACCAGGCTCAGACTTTTGTCATGGCATATGCTATTGGGAAGTTAATCCAATCTCTGTGTGATAGATTTTGAGTTACTGCAAGCTACTATTTCAACTAGTTAGAATGGTTCTTCATCTCCCACTTTTGCCAATAATCTGTAGAGAGGGATTTTTAACCTTTGGTATAAAGTCAGTGTGTTCATATTTTCTTTGAGAGCTGCACATTTAGAATTCTGTGGAGGTATACATACATGGCATTTGGCATATAGTTTTAGGGCTCCTGAAAACATAAAATCCATTGTTTAAGCTGAAAACCAAATTATATGACATTTTGAAACCTTGAGTCTAAATCAGGTCAAATGAATCATCTATTGTGTACACTGGGGGAACCTAACTCATAGCTCATCTTTGTACCTTTCGTGATTATATTTCTTTGTTCTGTGCTAAGCGTGAGAGTTCTTTTTCTTTGCCCTCTCTTGAATATCCAACATACAGCACGAAACGGAGCCAATCTTCATTGCACTTAAGAATTGATTGAATAATGGATTTAGACTGCGTTGTAAAACTTCATGAAAATGTATGCCATCTCATTCTTTATTATTATGTGTCTAGCTCTTAACATTGCCTGGCACATAGAAGGGACGTTGTAAATATTTATAAACACTGAAAAACTGAGTTCTCTTTATTGGAAATGGCTGACTTATGAAACTCTACAGAACTCAACAAAGTGAAGCATAGTTTATGCCAAGATTTTCATAGACTCAGAGTATCCATAGCTATCCCTAACTGTTCAGACAGTACAGCTTAAACTCTCTATATTTTTATTCCCATTACTACAAGTATCCCCTAAAACCTACTCCACGTGTAATGGTCTGTGTATTTAATATGACACATGCTCTCTGAGCCCTCAATTCTGTGACATGTATCTGTGCTGCTTTCATACATATTTCAATCATGTAACACAAATGTTTCAAACTCAATATGTCAAATATTAGTCCAATCACAGGCCCTGTAGACACAGTGCTTATCTACCCCTCACTGGCCCAATAGAAGTTAGTTTCCCAGAGGAGGGTAAACAATGTAGAGAAACTGACCTCATAATAAAGCAATGCAGGTAGTATCCAGGAGAAAAGGTACTCCAAGAACGAAGGGAAGTTCTTCACTCTTGTCTGTGCCCAGAGGGTTCTTTCACTTCCCCCACTAGCTTTCAATGTTTTCCATCTCGTTTTAGATCCAACACAAATCTTTATCTAGTAAGATTTTTTTCCTTTAGGTTCTCTGTTTGATTCTCATTGTACACTTCTTGACCCCAGTATGAATTTCTCTTCATTTATGACAGTCTTCCACTAGGTTGAACACCTATAAATACATTTTAGAAAATCGTATCTTTTCCAGTCATATTTTCACACAGTTCCTGTTTTGTAATAGACTGGAAGCAACTTTTTTTATTGTGACATCATCCTACCCACAACCTTTATCTCCTCACACATTTATTTCCTTTCCAGGATCCCCAAAATCATTTCATGTGCTGTTGCCCACTTACGTGGTGTGGTTGGTTGTCATAGCAACCATTGCGTGGTTGACCAGTTGGTCTTGTGTTTAACTTCTCTCTTTTGAATTCAGAATGAGGAACTAATGGACCAGATCAAAGGGCCATTTGCTAGTTATACAAGTGTTTTTGCTCCATTGAAGAAATTGACTCAGTGATAACTGGTTTCTTGATTTTAAAAACTTGTTTTATGTTTTTGAGTAGCCAAATCTTTGTTCATGACACTTTTCTTCTGAATTCTAAGCAAATGTCTCTGAAGCTATAATAATGATTGCTTTCAGGATTAGTTTATTATCTATAAAAATAATGTCTTTGGAACACATACTAAAGAGTCTATATGTAGATCTATTTGTATTTAAAATGATCTAACTAAACTGCAGACTGAGATTAATGTGCATTTGTACTATAGCAACGTGCTCAGTTGTTTTATATATATATATATATCACATATACATATATATATATATATATATACAGCACATATACATATTTAAGATGTAAGCATTTCCCTCCTTTTTATTCATAAAACGCTATTGGACTAACAGCTTTGAAGCAGATTTCAGTATATGCTGTTCAAAAATTCAGAAAAAATATCTACCTCTTCATGCAGAGAAGTATACTTTCCAGCTTAGCCTAACTGTAGAGAATAGTCTTTTCACACTCTTAACACTGGTGTTGGCCTTGAGTGTCACACAGATACATGAGTATGGCATATGCAGGGGTATGACGTAGATGCAGGGATACGGCCCAGTTGCAGGGCCACAGCATGGGATGATAACCAAGTGTTATGTGGAGTTAAAAGTAAAAGCCTTTGAGACAAATGTATTTCGATTCACAATAAAAGCAAATATATCCAGTTGAAATTCCAGTCCTAGCACTGCCAAGTTGTAAGAAATCAGCCGTTAACTTCTACACATCTTTGTTTCCTCATTCGTAAAATGGGATAAGAAGATTACAAACTTTCTAAATTTGGGACAAATGAGATAATATAGCATGTTAAACACATGTTCTGCTGTAATTGTTATAACCTCAGCTTTTGAATAACAGTTTGACTCTGTTCAGAATCCAGTGAGAGACCTTTATTCTAGCACCTGGAAGCGAGTTTCAGCTCTATGCTGTGCCGTCTAGGATGACTCTTTATCTACCTCATTTCTTTTTCTATCAGCAAAACTGGGACACGTTCAGCCTGATCTGCCTGCTTCACAGGGATTTAAGAACAGCTAAGTCAACAAATGAAGGAACGATATCTTGTGGCTGTTCAAATGAAATGTGCCGTCCCGTCAAATAGAGTTCTAGGGACATAATAAAATCAGCCCAAACCACGTCTGACATGAATTCATTATAAGTTGTCAGCCTTTCTGACTTCCTACTTTGGGGTAACCCCGGGGTCCTGTTGTGACAAGCATCTGGAAGGACTGCTTACCCAACAGAAGAAACAGATTGAGAAAGTGTCTTACCTGAGCCAGTATCAGTTCCTCTTCATTTCCATGAGGCACAACTATATTTCCTCTGACAAAGTCTTGCAAAATGCATTTCTGGGGATAACTGTCATCTTTCAAAATGCACCAGCCAGGAATTGAAGTAAAAAGGAAGAAAAAAACCCTTAAACATCCAGAGCTTCAATGTTAAATGTGTAAATACAGGAACTTTAAAATACAAGTCAGTATCAGATATCCAGGAACTTAAAGATCTCAAGTCCTTAAAGATAATGTATTATTTTGTCATTCACAAATTGAACTTTAATTGAAAATCCATATTTGAAAAGTAAATATTTAAAGTAGATTTTTGTCACATGTGATTCATTGACTTTTTATAAATAAAACCACACAACCAGAGACTAAGGCATCAACAGGACTATGGTTTTTGTTTTGCAAGAGACACTCCAGTTTTATATTTTAAAATAGCAGCTGATTTATATCAAAATATGAACTGGAAGCATAAATAACTTCTTGAGCCTATACGTTTAGGGGTGGCAGATTAAAAGTGGTTTGTAATGAATACTCTTTTGAGAAAAAATGAAATAAAGTTAAGAGAAGAACACAAAACATTTGAAAATAACTAACAATAGAACAGCCAAGATTGCCAAAACTGTACGTCAATATTGGTGTCAGGTTTACCAAAGTGATGCGATTCCTGGATTGACAGAATCTGCGAGGAGGGACAGGAAATGGTGTATGACTGTCATAAAGCAGGGCTTGCAGCCGTCCGTATTTTCTTAATTTTCATTGCAAAACATGAATCTTGCTTTACTATCAAGAAGGGATTCCAAGAGTTTGAAAACTCAACCTGAGACAGAAAGCTCAATTTTGATATCTTATCTTGAATTAGAAGTTTAACTTCTCTTATGCACCAAAACTTAAAGTTATACTTAATCCATATACTTTTTATTGCAAATAACATTGTCCAGATACTTGACTAAGTACTTTTATGAAAATTATAGCATAGGTATTTGGATGTTCTGTGTAAAATGAGGTGTAAAAGCCACTTTTTGCGTGTGTTATGTGTGTACAAGTATCTAAACAGCAAACTGCTTTTGTTATTCTAGGGTTGTACTAAAATCGTGGATTTTCATAATGTACTACCTGAGGGTATGAACTTGACCTTTTTCATCCCCTTGGTTTCAAATAACGGCAATTACACATGTGTTGTCACATATTCAGAAAATGGACGCCTCTTTCACCTCACCAGGACTATGAGTGTGAAGGTGGTAGGTAAGCATGACTTGTCATTCACAACTGTATTGCGGAAGGGCTAAGATTTTGTTTAGGCTCTCAATGGGTTATTATACACAATCACGCAAACGCTACTAAAAAAAAAAAGATACAGAATTTATTCGCTGCCTTAACCCCAGAGCCTGTAAGCAGGACCATGTACAAAGTAAGCAATCAGTAACTGTTGGTTAACTTACTGCATATGTGAATGAGCAACAAGCATGTCAGGGTTTCATGGAATGAGAGCACAGCTGGATAGATGGGTGCTAATGGTCTGTGGGTGCTTTTGTTAGTCACGTGACTTTGACCAAGGCCTAGGGATCAGCTGCATAGCAAGGCAGAGGGAGAACGGCTTGGGATGGAGACTGTGTGTAACAGGTTTAGGTAGACGTGAGTCATCTTTCCTCATACCCCACCTTTTAATAGATGGGGACACTGCATAAAGGTGCTGCATGAGTTAGTGGAAAGATTTTCAGTTTCAAGTCTCTGTTCGAGACTGTTTCCTTGAGTGAATCTGTTATCGGATCCAATACAAATTAACACAAAAAAGGGAAGAAAATAATAGTGCAAGTTTTTAACACAGCACCAGTAAAATCTAAATCCACCAATTCTGTGATTGCATTTCTTCAATTACTTTTGGAATGATGCTAGGTTTTGAATGAACTCATGAGGAAAAAAATAAGGCTGAATTTAGAATCTAAGTTTGTTTTAGAAACCAGATGAATTATATCACATAATGTTGATCTCAGATGTTGTTTAGAGTTTATGTGCCTATATGTGTGTAGTTTTATCTGTGTTTGGAAAGTAAGAACAGGTGTTCTTGGTCACAGATTTAGGTATAAGTAGTTGACAGACACAGCTAAGCTGTAGAAGTCATTTTTAACTAAACTTCAAATGACACAAGTTTACTTTTCAAGGCTGTGACACATTGGGCATTTATTAAACTTCACTAAAGGATGCTTTAGTAATATTGTGCTTAACTTGTTTTTATGTAATTTTTTCCTATTTGTGAAACTGGGGGTGAATTTTATTTACCATATTTAGAGTTATAAAAAATTTATTCTTCAAAGTAAAATATTCTTATGTACATATGATTAATAGATGGAGAAATCTGGGTGAGAACCTGGCCAGTCTTTAAACACACACTCTTAAATACCATGCTTGGGTTAGAGAGATGCCTCAGAGGTTAAAAGCACTGACTTCTCTTCCAGAGAACCCAAGCAATCCGAGACTCTCTTCTGTCCTTCATGGACACCAGACGTGCAGGTGATACATAGACATACATGTAGGCCAAACATCCATATTCATAAAATGGAAATAAACAAATGTTCAAAGAACATCACACTGCAAAACTCTTTCAAGATACTTTAACATATATTTATAGGGCATAGAAGCAGCAGCTCTTCCATGCATGGACATTTGGCTAGTAATGCTGTGTTAATCAGGCAGACATATGTACAAGTGTCCTTAAATTTTCCACGTAGCTAAATATTCATTTACTGTTATCCAGGTCTCATACTAGACGTTCTGAGTATCCGAGGGAGAAATTCTTGGACAGTAAGCGTAAATAATAAGCACAGTTTACGAATTGAGACCACGTAGTTCCGTGTGTTGAATATGTGTGGAAAAAGTAGCTTGGAAATTCAAAGAGGATGAAGAAAGAGAAGAAATGAGACATGAAACAGTTATTTCTAATATGGCAAGAGAGCCACATGAGCCCTGGAAATCAAGAACACTGATGAAACAATCTACCCACCCCAAAATAATGCAGGGGGTTCCATATATTTCGTTTGCAATTTTGCAAAGGAAAAAAAAACTGTTTTTTTTCTGTGCTCACAACACTTCTGTCACTAAATGTGCGAATTTTCCACACCAAGCAATTCTCCAGTTCTCTGAGACACCATCTGTGTTTCCTACATGTTAATTCATTTTGATACTAAATACCTGGAGTTTGCACAGACCACACAGATTGAGGGCCCTGTCTTCAAAGAATCTGAGGGACTCAGAAGCTCTTGGTTCAGGAACTGGGGACTAAATAATGTAAGTATCAGAGGACTGTGATGAAAGATGCTCACGCCACCCGCAGCACTCAGGAAATTAAAGGGCTCTCAGGAGTTCTGTGTTAGGGATAAGTAATAGCGATGAATACATATTTCCTATTACATCACATTTCATTTTCAAAGAGTGAAGTCCAGGAATTGGGTATATATCAGGCCATAGGCCTTCTCGAAAAACTATGCCAGGAAGTTGAACAAGTTGGATGCAGAGGTTTGCATAAGCCTGAATGATTTAACATCCCCCTTTTGCATTTCCTATCATAGGCTCGCCAAAAGATGCATTACCACCCCAGATCTATTCTCCGAATGACCGTGTTGTCTATGAGAAAGAACCAGGTAATTATAGGAGTGGTTCCTATGTTTGATTAGAGTCTCTTCATTACAAGAAGCAAAGCATAGGTTAGCATGAAGCAGAAAGTATAATTGGACGGAAATACACAGGCTTCAAGTGAAATGTGATGGAAAGCCATGGCATAGAAGGATTTGGGAGTTTCAGCTTCTCTTCCAGTCCTTTGTCCTCTGCTCCTTGTTTTCCTCTGTGGTTACTATTGAATGAAAACTTGACTTTGCACAGGGTTTTGATTTGCCGGGGCCATAATAAAAGCACAAGACGGCTTTTAAGTTTCTACTTCCTCTTCAGAGTGTGGAGCATGGAATCAGACAGGACTGAGAGCGTCATGGAAAAAACAGATCCGTGAACGCTAGATTCAGAACACTGTCAAATGGTTGCCATGCCTCCCTGGGCCACCCATAAGTTTTCATAATGTTTTATTCTAGAAAGAAATCATTCATAAATTACCAAATAAAAGATTTTTTGTTGTTGTTCTTTTGATTAAAAGCCTTCTACAGTAGAGTAGAAAATCACGGAAAATTCTGACACTTTTACATAATCTTCTTTTCTTTAATTTAGTTAACACGTTTTTGTTATTTTTCATATCAGTCCCGGTTCCCTTTCCCTCCCCTCCTCCTGCTCCTTTCACCATCTCCCCCACCCAACCACCATCCACTACTCAGAGAGGATGAGGCCTCCCATGGGGAGTCAACAAGGTCTGCCACATCACTTGAGGCAGGACCAAGGCCTTCCTCCCTGTATCTTGACTGAGGAAGGTAACCCTCCAGAGGGAATGGGTTCCAAAGACCAGTTCATGCACTAGGGATAAATACTGGTCTCATTTCCAGTGGCCCTCTAAACCGCTCAAGCCACTGTAAGACCATTCTAGACCCGTGAGAAGTATAGAAGAAGAGTTGTTTGTGTGGATTGAAACTGTGAAGCCAGAGATCATGTAGGTGGATTGCCAAAAAGGCAATATACTGAGTTTTCAGATATGATTTGCCTCGTAAGGAGTAGGTGACATTGAGTTGGTCGATCTCAAATAGACTGCTTTTCCTAGGGTTAATATGGGCTTTGTTTAGGAACTTGAACATTCTTGTCACCGTTGAAGTAAAAACCTATCAGCAACCCAAGTATGTTTCAGCTACTTACTGGGTCGCATTTCCGAAGCATTCCTGAACTCCTGTTCATTTTCCCTTTGTTATGGAAACATAGTGCTTCATAATCTGTAGTGAAAGGTTTGGAGCCAGTGTTAGTCAGTTCATCCCAAGATAATTAGAGGCTTCTTCAGAGCCTGGGCAATAGTGAACCAAGAGTACAAGCATAAAGCAGAATTATTCTCAGCAGGCTGGTGTGACAGTTCCGAGCTGGGTCAAATCCTTCCCCAGTTCTTATTAACAATTTGACCTACAAACTATGCTGCTTAACATGTAGACATTTCAACTTTTGCTTCCGTGGCACATTAATTTTTAAAAGACTTCATGCTGATTGATTAAGAATAAATGCCTAGGGTAGGGAAGACTTATTTGGGAAGGTGGGAGGGAGGAGGGCAACACAGAAGGAGAGGGAAGGAGGAGGAATATCTAACACCAAGGATGCTTTAAGAAGCTGGAGAGAATTATGATATTTTATGTTCATTTAAAATAGTTCTACCCATCTGTAAAATCTACAAACTAAACTAAAATAGCCAGAACATCAAGGTCTTGCAAAAGGTGCAATAACGGCTCTTCTATACCAGGACCAATGAACAGCCACCTAGTTAGACTTAATGCCGTCTTGATTGGTAGGAATTCATGCCTGCATCTGTAAACATAGATAGCTGGTGAGATTATGAGATCTAGTAGAGCATCTACTATTGTCCTTTGCATAAGCCAGTATAATTTCTAACTTCTGTGTAAATACCCACAGCCAGGTGTAACTCTCATCCCTCATCAAAGAAGCCTCTTTTCTCAGCCAGGCCATACTGATCAAAATGTCGAGATCAACTGACCATGAGGCACCCATCCCTGTTGATACATCTATCACAGTTCCTTTACCCACAGCTCAAGGCAAACATATACTTATATATCTGTAATTTAAATAATGGTTTCGTGGACTCCTATACATTCTCTGGCTCTTATATCCTTTCTGCTTTACCTCCATTAATGTTTCCTGAGCTATGGAAGGGGTGATAGAGATTTCTCATATAGATTGAGACACTCAACAGTCACTGATTTTTCCAGGACCATAGCCATTGATAAGTTGCTCATGTTTTAGTAAATAGTACCCACACTCATGCTCATGCAAGCAATCCTGATTATATTCATGGCTTTACACACACACACACACACACACACACACACACACACACACACACAAAATAAAATACGTATGAGAAGACTTGTTGGTGAAAATAAGGTAATCAGAGGAGTAGAGGGAGGATGACTGTGACAGGATGAAAATAGCCAGACTTTGTTATGTAAATGTATATGATTCTGAAAGAATAAAACATAAGAATAAGAATAATAAAAGAGAACAATAGCAAGCACACTTATTTAGCTCTACCAAGTTCACAGCAATTATGTTGATCTTGACATGATTGTTAGCACTATTATCCGCACTTGTGAACCTCCGTCATCTCACGAATCATCTCAGCTACATAACTTAGAACTGCTTTTTAAAACTAAGTATCTGCATGTTTGGAGATGTGGATTCCCTGGCCGGTTCTCTTGGTGATGACACAGTTCCCTCCTCCTTGGAAAAGGACCCATCACCGAAGGACTCTTTTATTGGTCACTGTGGTTGAAAGAGAATAGCCATGATAGGCTCATATATTTGAATTCTTAGTGCACAGTTTATGGAACTCTTTGAGAAGGATTAAGAGCCGTGGCTGGGAGTAGACTTTGATGCTACAAGATCTCCTATGATATTCTAAGTTAGCTCTCCCTGCCTCATAGTTTTTGATGAGAGGCGATCTGTTCAGTTACTGTTTCAGCACCATGCCTGCTAGTCTGCTGCCAAACTCCCTGTTGTGATGGTCATCAGTTCCAACCCTCTGGAACCGTGAACCCCAAATTAAATGTTCTCTTTTATAACTGGCCTTGTTCATGGTGAAAAATAACTAAGACAGTCACACTTTATGAGGGAAGTAACAAAAAGGAAGGTTTGAGCCTGAGAAGAATGCTGCCAGAGTTCCTCAGCATTTTAGAGCGTATTTATATAGTGATAGAAAATGGCCATTTTGGTAGTTTTATATACAGTTGCTGGGCTTCTCTTCTTGTTTTGTGTGTGTGTGTGTGTGTGTGTGTGCATTTGGTGTTAGAATGATGAATGGTTTATTGACTGTTAGTGGCTACCAGAGAATCAGGCATATGAGAGTCATATGAAAGATGCATATTGATGGATTAATATAGGCTAACATCATCTTTTCAATTTGTTCGTTTGTCAGGAGAAGAGCTTCTCATCCCCTGTAAAGTCTATTTCACTTTCATCATGGACTCCCACAATGAGATCTGGTGGACCATTGATGGAAAGAAGCCTGATGATGTCACCGCTGACATCACCATTAATGAAAGGTATCATGGGTGTATACGGGCCTTCTAGTCATTGTCTATCTCAGGCCTTGATACACACCATTCAGTGTGCATGATGCTTGTTTTTGCCTTAATAAAATGTAGCAAAATTTTTAAATCTTCAGTGGCTGCATCCCAAAGCAGGGCTATGGGACTTTCAATGGAAGTGCACACACTTGATAGATTGCATGCCAAAATTTGGTATTACATTGTCTTGAGTCCGGGTGTCTTCATCACAGGTGTTACAGGCATGTGCTATATTGTCTTAAGCTCTACAGACTTCACATGTTTATGATATGATTCTCAATTAGAAACATATGGAATGTATTTCCCTCATGAATCTAAAGATAAATGAGAAGGAAAAATATTGGGATGTGGTTGCATGAAAGTATTTGGGTTATAATCTTTCTCAGTCCTGGAACATGGGTCTGGATATTTGCTTCTCTTCTAATTATGTTTATTTCTTCTATTAATGATCCATATTTTTCCTATCGTCCTCTGATAATTGAGAATTACTTGTTAAATACTAACATTTTCATTCTTTAAATTCCACGTTAAAAAGTAAATGTGCAAAACTCTCAAAGAGCTAATTTTTTAAAAGCTGATGGGTAATAATGCTAACCTCTCTAAAAATGTCAAACTGAGTCACTTTATTCTTAAGCAAACTTGATATTTTAAAGACTTTAACAAAGGAGATGTACAGGTCTCTGAAGACTGAATATTTCTCTATAAGCGAGATATAAATTGCTAGAAAGAATTGCTTTGCTACATAAACCAATAAATCACAGTGGTCAAGCATGTGACAGAGTGGCAGAAGTCCCCAAGTTTTATCACCTTATGCCAACAGACCTTAAGTCCATTGAATTTTTACAATTCAATACCTGTTTCATTCCTACTAGTAAGTTAAGATTTTGTAGAAAGTATAAAGATAAATAGATGACTGAGAAGGAATGGGTGTTGCAGGAAGAGTTCCTAGGGGACTCTGTCGGTTTGGGAGGATTAGGGGGCATTCCACAGATGAAACAGTGTTCACATCAAATTTGCTATGTTATGAAATGAAAGCTGGTGAAAAGAAATGTTGTGTTCAAAGACAAGGACTTTAGGGAAGCAGAGGAAAATTGGAGGGAACAAAAGTCTCCAAACATGGCATGTTTTGTAGAAGGAACTGATGAAAGGTTCAACTTGAGGCCCCAAGGGCCAGTTACTGATAATTTCGGGATTTCTGAGAATTGAGATTCTTCTCTTCATATTAAATGAATCCTTATGAGAACAAAGTCATGTTATTCCATTTTGCTGCAATTAAGACAGACTTGCAGTGTTCATGAGAGCAGGAAAATAAGTTTGGGAGAAAACTACTTGTCCCTGAAACACAGTTTTATGACTGACACTATGTCTAATCTAAAGGAAAACCGGCTCAGCTAAGGGAGAAATATATTTAGACCCCTCTGAGACAAGGAGTTGAAGGGATTTTAAATCTTGGTCTTAAACACAAACACTTGGTCTTGGACTTACTGCAGTTGGATATACCTACTTCACAGTTCAGTTTTCATGTTCTGAGCTATTTCTTGTCTTTGCATGTAAAGATTGAACTATGCAGTTTCAACATTTCACACAAACATTCTGCCTGTCTGCATTTGGAAATCAAGCCTTCCGTATCTCTGCAGCGTGACAGTTATGTGGGGCTGTGATAGCTCAGAGGAGCAGTCATCAAGCGTGGCTGCAGGAGAGATGCATGTTCAATCTTCTGAGTATTTCAGTAAATTATTCCCATAATACACCCTTTTACAAAACAGCCAAGGCATGGAAAGTTTAATGACATTGCCCAAGGTGCAAATGACAAAACATGGATCACCCGCCCCCCTCCCCCCCAAATAAGTCTGATACCAGAAGATTATTTTCAAGCTGATGCAGGCATCGTGCCTCAGTGTCTGGAGCAAGGGTGACATTTAGCTGTGAAGGAAGAGCTGCAGTGAGAATCTAGCATTGGGTTTGTCCGGCATTAGGCCAATGTGTGGTATGATAAGGCCATTGTCAGCATGACAGTTCTCTCCCACAGGACTCTGTAGGTGCTTGCTTCTTATTCACACAGAGGGCACAGCCTGTGTGTCTCACAAACGTTTTGATTTCTTTCTCCTTGTGTGTAGTTTAAGTTATTCCCCAACAGAGGATGAAACAAGGACTCAGATTTTGAGCATCAAGAAAGTCACCCCTGAGGATCTCAGGCGCAACTATGTCTGTCATGCACGAAATACCAAAGGGGAAGCCGAGCAAGCAGCCAAGGTGAAACAGAAAGGTAATGGATGCACCCAGCCGATGACTCTGTGAACTCTCAAATAACACTGTGGTGAATAGGAAATCAGAGAGAGAACGCCAGCGCATAGCACATTGGACACAAAGCAATGAGTCGGTTAAATGAAAAACCTTAGGAGAAAGCTTCCATCCTTGCAAAGAGGCTAGCATCTTGGTTCTGAGAGTGCCAGCACCTTAGTACCTAAATGTTGCTTGAAAACTCCATGAATGCAATAGCAAGCCACAATTTTATATCTTAAATAATCAGGAAAAATGAAAATCCTCAAACTAGTAAAGATGGAATAGAATTTCTAGAATCACATACTGTTGTTGAAGTCCAAAGATGCTCTTAGATATAACTGAAAGCAGAGTTCAAAGGGCACAAGTTTGATCATGCCATATGACCTTTAGGAATTTTTCCTGAATCACGCATCCTCCGCTATTCTTAGAAGTGTAAGAAAGAATGAAACATAAGTAGCAGTCATCTGTTTGTCTATAAATACATAAGGAAGGAATAGGATACTGATTTTCAAAAAAAATGTAATTTCAGATTCATGATTTACACATTATATATCCATCATTAGGCAGTTTTATAACTGATAAAATAATATTTACTAAATTGTGATTTAGTTTGATGTTAAAATAATTTCTATGTTAATACCTGTATTTTCTAAAATAAATAAAAAATAAAAAAAATTACAAATCCTTCTTGTGTGAGCTGTTGCTCCTGAAGCATACTGCCTAAATTTTTCTTTGGGTCTTTCCCCCGGCACAAATCCCAACCAACTGATCCCTTCCTGAATATTTTCAGAGGTATGAAGTAAAGTTAACAGAGACATCACATAGTCAGTATAGCATTTTGGACCATCCTAGCTCTCACATTTTTAGTTTATAACATTCATATAAAAATGAAATATTTGATACAGTTTATAACATTTATATAAAAAGGAAAACGTTGACTTATGGTTGTTGCATTTGCTTTAGACTTGAATCCTTTTTATTTATTTACTTTAAGCTAAGCAACAAAGAGGACACAATCAAATGTTGTCTTACAAATTAGAAAGAAATTGTTTATAGATCTTAAGACGTCTTAAAGAATTTGTTCAGGATGTTCCATTGCTTCCATCTCAGAAATCACTGTAGTGAATTATCTGTGCTCGAACATCAAATACCCTAATAAAATCCTAGATTCCGTTTAGCCCAACTCTCTGATCTTGGAAAACTAAAGGTCTCTCTGAGCCTTATCATTTTTATCATAAAAAATGGAGAAAATTATACCAGCACCTCTAAGGTTGTCAAAAACGCACAGAGCAAGCATCGTTACTAATTCATACTATCAACTGTTCAATAAATGTTAGCTCTTATTTCTCCGAGGGTATTATAGGCAATAATTAACTAAAGCATCTGTAATCAAACAAGTACCATTATAGTCTAAGTTACAAAATAAATCAAATTACTTTAGTTCAAGACCTGTTAGAGCCTTTAATATTTAACATTCCAAATGAAGGTCTTCAGGGGTTTAGATTGCTGCGGGCTGGGTGTTTTCAATTGTGTTAAAATCCATATTACTGAAGTACAAAGAATCTGGGGGTTTTCTTTTTTGGCATGTACTCTGTAGAACAATAATAGAAGATGACATAAATTGATCACTTATCAAATAATAGGATCAAGCCACAAATAAAAAAATGTTTTATGTGGGAGACATGCCCAAGGATGTCCACCCGAGTAGCTACTGTAGCACAGAATCTCAGATTCTGAGTGTAGTGGGGACAATACTGAGGCTGTGAAGGAACACATGATACTCTTGACCAATGAGCGTTGGTTCTAAGATTTTTTTTGTCTACACATCATCAAAAGGATGACAGGAAGCACAAAGTGGTGATCCAGGCTTGTAATCCTTCCATGTGGGAGATTGAGCCAGGAAGTTTAGGAGTTCGAAGTCAGCCTCAGCTACTTCGTACATTCAAGACCAGCTTGGACTACATGAGACCCCTGTCTCAAACACAAACAACGAACATGACAGGGAGAGATTAACATGTGGAATGAGAATTGCCTCCAGCAGATTTTATTGACTGCACATTTCATCCATTCAGCTGACTAAAGTCCTCCCTATGAGAGAGCTAAAGTAAACATGTCTAACATGGAGTTGTTTGGTGATCAGAGAGTAGCAAGGTAGGTTCTAAGGAGACATGTGCTTTAAGTCATATGAGAAGTTGCCAAACCAGTTGCCAAAGAGGTTTGCTGTTGCACACTGCCCCCTACACAGCACAGCAGAGAACCTACGTACACTAACTTTTCTCGCCAGTTTTTGGATTTGTCAACTGTTAAGCTTTTAACAGTTGTCTTAGGAAATGAGTGTTTGTGTCTCACTGAGTTGCTCTTCGAGTTCCTGGTGATGCTGAAGACTTTTTTGTAACTTCATTGATCGTTAATAAATCTTTCTGTAAGGCCGGTAAAAAATCTTTGGTCATTTTCAGCTGGATCATTTGTCTTAAATTTAGTGCGGTATGTAACTCATGCTGGACACATGCATACAATACACACTACCACATATGCTCGCCCAGATTTACACACACCGAATGCACATCCTTTGTTAACTTTTTTGAATGTTAAAAAATACTTTCATCCAGCTTGTGAATTTATTCATTTTTGAAAGATTTGCTTTTATTCACATGTATGAGTGTTTTGCCTGCATGCATGTATGTGTATCATGTGTGTGCTTAGTACCTCCAGAGGCCAGAAGGAGACATCAGAGTCCCTGAAACTATAGTTAAAGAGAGCTGTGAGCCAGCATACAGGTGGTAGATCCTCAGCAAGAATGTTGGTGCTCTTAACCCCTAAGTCCATGAGTTGATGTTTTGATAAGCTCAATTCTCAGTAATGTGAGGAAGCTCATTTTATCAGTCTCTTTTTATGTGTTAGTGCTTTCTGAATTATGAACTTCTACTCTCTGTTGTATAAGTCAAATGATGGCAGGCTTTTTTCAAGGATTTCTCCTTTCTATTTAGGCCTTTGTTCCATCTTAGATTGTAGTTTTGAAGACATGAGTTGTAGGGTGGAGTCTGATGTTGACTTTGTCCTGTTTCTCCACAGAAATGGTTTTTCTGACATCTTGTTGAATGTGTTTCTCTGTTTTTTTTTTCTTGAAATGTCTTGAAAGTTTGGTCAAAAACTCAATCATCTTTATGACTTTCTGCATTCCTTACTCTACCCCTTTAATCAACTAGTCGCTATTTAGTCTTACACCATTTTTATTACTAAAGTTTGAAATTCTTAAATAAGACACTGTTGCCATTTTCTCTTTTTCAAGGTAGTTTCACTGTTTTAGAAAGATTCATAGTTTCCTTACCTATTTTAGTACCAGTTTGTCAACATCTACTCTTTGATTTTGATTGAGACTCTATTAAATTTGTGAGTAACACTGAAGACTTACCAGTACTGATTCTATCAATCCATAAAGATGATAAACCTCTCCATTTATATAAAGTCTTAGTAATTTATCTCCTCAATTTAAAAAAATGAGTGTACAGGTTTTTATTACATATTATCAAATTCGTCTCTAAAGAATTTAAAAATTTTGCCATTAGATTTTTTAACTTTTCTAATTGTTTATTAATAAAGCATAGTCATGCAGTTAATTGATTTTTATGTGCTCACCTTGAGCTGCTCTTCAAAATTTAATTATCACAATTTCTGCTTGTCTTTCTCTTATTCTCTTTCCTCAAGAGTGTGTTTTCTTGTGTCAGTTTTCTAAGTTGTCCTTCGGGGCACTTCCTTGCTCTTCAAAGTTGTCATGTACGGGCATGCTTTCTGGGGATCATTTCCTTACAATTGTTTCAGAGTCTATGGAGGCTTTGGTGGTTTTGTTATGATAAGTGATTTGTATGCTTTTTCAAGAATATATTTTTTATGTTTTGAATTTCTGCCTCACTGGAATGTCTCCATTGATATTTCCAATTTACTCTTCACAAGTGTTCATTTGAGAAAAAAAAAAGACCTCAGCAGACACATTTTAATATGGATTTTAAAATGCTTAGCTAGTCATTAAATCATCTCTGCCAATTCTGGATTCTATTTTTACTTGTTGATATATCTTTTGAATGATTCTTTTATTTTTCTGCTATCTAGTGTTTTTTCGTTATTCTGGGCATCATAGATGTTATACCATGGAATGTATTTTGTGAGCAAATTGAGTTTTATTGTAGCAGGTGTTTAATTTGTTTATATTATAGGTCTCCTCTCCTCTTCTCCCTTCCCTTTTTCCTTCTGGAATTCTCTTGATCACGTTTGTTACAGTAGTTAGAAATGCCATTTCTGGTTGGGCTGGGTGGATAGACTTCTCCAGCTCCGCCATTTAATAGGGCTGGTGGATACACTTCTCTGGTTCAGCCATTTAGGCACCACAGGCTAGCCGCTATTTCTTTGCTCTGAAGCTGGACACCTGGGTCACCTCAGATCTGCATGGACTCCTATGGCTTTTCATTTCCTAGGTGTTCTTTATAGGACTTTGTAAGTACAAACCAAGTCTCCATAGCTTTGCATTCGTGCATTCTTTGCCACAGACTGAAGATAACCTCATGTAGACAGAGGTCATTTTCTACTCAACTCTCCTCTTTCTATTCCTTAGTCCCTGAAATTCAAACTGACACAATCGTCTCAACTCTCATTTCTCTCCCTAGCTCAGAACAGCCACCACCTTCTTAGGACTTCCCTTTCTGTACCAAAATCTGGAAAATTCTCTTTGATAATTATTAGAAAGAAAAAGACATAATGACCGTGGGTTTATCTTAGTTTTACCAGTTCTCCAACTGTATGAGGCTAAAATGCAACAACAACAGCATTATTTAAGGTATTCTGGAGCTATTCATTATCTTAGTTTTACCAGTTCTCCAACTGTATGAGGCTAAAATGCAACAACAACAGCATTATTTAAGGTATTATGGAGCTATTAAGGTATTCAGGCTAGTTCATTATCATTTACTTTTCTGGTACCAATGGTGAGGTTCAGAGGACAGAGATTGTAGCCTCATCCCTGAACCATCAGATTTGCAGATCAATTCACACCATTTTCTGTTTTGACATCACTAAAATAAAACACTCTTTTGTTAGTATTTCAAACAAATGGCCATCACCACAATTTTAAAAATTATGCATAATTTAGTACGGACGAGCCTTGGTCTCTGTGGCAGGGGACAATTGGCAGTCCAGGCACCTGGCATTTGGAGCAAGAGCTCAGTAGATTGCAAGCCCAGCTACAACAATGAAGATAGATAATTTGGGTTACCAAGGACAAAATTTATTGTAGAGCCAGAACCAAAAGCAGAGGAGAGGACTAGCGCTGGGGTCCTTCATTCTTTTAACAAAGATGCCTGGCTGGGTACATGGAGTTCAGGGCCAGTTTATAATACAGAGCTGCAAAGCGCGTTCTGATTTGGGGAGAAACAACACGCAAATGACGGCATTTGACTACATTCTAATTGAGACTTATTGCAATCAATGAGAGGGGGAGTTCAGGAGTCCGGTGTGATCAGATTGCGTCACTCCTTTTTGATTTGGAAACCGTTTTGTCTGGAATTGCATCAGCGCAAAATTGTCATTTCGAATGCCGAGACTTGCAGTAGGAAGGACACAAAATACAGGCCAAGGGTCACTGCTTCCCTGTAACGTCCTTTCACTTTGCAAGACAGCCCTTTAGAAGCACAGCCATTTAGAAGAGCAGTCTGGTGGATTATTAATTTTCGGGTCCAATCAGTTAAGTGACGTTAGGGCATCTTTAATAAGAAGATGACACCAGGAAACGCAGTCTGAGCTGTAAATACGAGCTGTATCATCGGAGATACAAAACAAAATTGAAGAGCCCTATTAAAAGTAAAGGAGGCTGTAGAAATGAGCCTGGGAGAGAGAAATCAATCGTTTAATTGATCTTTTGGTCATCAAGCAAGACTTCTATTAATACCTGGAAAAACATCCACCCATTTAGAGGACCACCATCCTGCAACCCCGGGGCTAGGGTCCACCTGATAACAAGGTTTGAATGCTCAATTCCAGGGTTCCCCTGTACTAGATACACAACACACTGAATTCAGGTTGATGAACTTGAAAGTCCAGGATTTATCTCGAAATTTGAGAACTTTGGACTCCACTCCAGGTTGCTTACCATGTTTTCATTCCGATTAAACGTCATTTGAAAAATCCTCCCAGCCACTGAGTCCGCATCTGATCAATGATCTAACACCATGGCAGCATTCCACACAGACCATGCACTTTGAAGAGAACCTAGATAGCAGTCCTGCTCTGGAGGAGATTCTCCACACCTCATCTCAGCAGACAGACATTCAGCACCTAAAGTGTTCGACTGCTTGGAGAAGCATCTTTGTCTCTCCACTCTTTGACCTCCCCCGCCCCAGTCTCACTCCATCTGGCCCAGGTCACCCCATCACATGACCTGCTTTTTCAAAACATCAGTAACAATTTTTAAACTAACCCAGTGAAATATTCTCTTGTTTCTGTGCTTCCCCTGCATTAGATTTTTTTAGCCCTTCCTGCCGTCTTCCCTTTCTATCCCTCAAGCGTCTGGCAGACATGCCAAGAAAGACATTATCGAGCCAGCCAATACCAAGCCCGGCTTCATCGCCAGCAAATTACTCCGTTCTTCCTCAAAGTCTTCGGCTGCTGTGCCACAGTCAACATAGCAAACAAATGATGCTTCTGCCCTTGACTGTAACTTTGGGCTTCTTTCCCTATCCTGAAAGAGGAAAGTGCTATTTGCGGGAAAGTTTGTTGAGATCCCAGGTGCCGCAGGGATAGGAAGGACAGAACGGTTTGCACCCGGAAGGTGCGGAGGCCTAGTCTATTTTGCAGGGGGTGGGAAGGAGTAACAATTATCTACAGTTCACTAATATTGCTGAGATAAAATCATTAAAAGGTAGATATTTCTATGGACAAAGCCCAGTCTGAAAAAAAAGACATCTTTATTGATGAAATGAAGACATATATAAATGAACTTGGAAATTAAAAGAAATTAAGAAATAAAAGAAAGACATACTATGGCCAGAAGTCAAACTATGGTCACAGCATTATGTTTGATTTTCCTGAGCCCTTTGAGACAAGGACAGTGTAAATGAGACAGGAGAGTGATTGGAGACTTGGTTAGAATAGTTGGTGGAGTGAACAGGGCTTTTGTCTTAATTCCTAGCTTTTAATACATTGGGAACTATCTCACTCTATTTCTGGTACTTCCATAAAGCCTGCCTATAATATTCACAGTGTCAAAAAGTAAGTAGATAACAAGGAAATAATCAAATCTCTGAAAGTTCAGGTCAGCCTTTGAAGTGTTTGTCACAGAACTGTGAGCGTGGGAAATATGAGAACCAAATACCACTTCCTAGTCCGTAGATTTGCCAAAACTCAATGAAAATACTAGTTTGAAGCCTCTTTTTAAATAAAGGAAAGGGATCAAATTTCTCTGATATTGATGTTAGAAAGAGGATGAAGTCAAAATTAATCGACACAGCAAGACTTTTGCCCAGGTTACCTCCTCTGATAATGGGTCTCTCTTCGGGGAGGGTTCTTGGGAGAGCACTGAAGGAAAAACCAGTCGCTTTCACAACTCTCCTTGTCCTAGGATCATGGCACAGTGCTGCAGTCTCAGTTCCCAGGAGGCTGGGGCAGGATGTTGGTGAGGTTGAGCTGAAGAGCAGGACCTTCTCAGTTTATGTATGACTGGCCTTATAGTTCAATGGTAGAGCTTGCCTAGCATGCACAAGACCCTGTGCTGAATTGAATATGATAACCTTCCTGGAAATCCTTCCCAATGTTAAGAGCCTATTTTATTTTGTGTACATTTAGGATCTGTTCAAATCACTGAGTCATTTAAAGCACTTTCTGTACCAGGAACTATAAGCAACAGCAGCAAGAACAACAAAAGAGTAAATAAATAGGATGCAATCTAGTATTCGAAAAAGATGATGCCTAAACTGTTACCATGTCATTTCTGCTTGTTAACATTTGCAAGTCAAGTGCCTGACTTGCCCGTATGGCTGATCCAGTCATGAAGGAGATGGGGGATCACTATGATCATTAAGTAGAAGTTAACTATCATCATTACTTTGTCATTTGTTTTAGTAATACCGCCACGGTATACAGTGGAACTCGCCTGTGGTTTTGGAGCTACGGTATTTCTGGTGGTGGTTCTCATCGTGGTCTACCATGTATACTGGCTGGAGATGGTCCTCTTTTACCGGGCTCACTTCGGAACAGATGAAACGATTCTTGGTGAGTATCGGACATATGATGCAAATCTCTTGTATCACCACAATGTGTTTCTCTAGCATATGAGCAACTGCATTTAACAAGATCATCCATTTTTTCTTTTAGCTCTTACTAATAAAAATCTTTCCAGTATGCCATTTGCCTTTCATGATGGAAATATGGTTTAGTCTAGACTAGCTTTGTCTTTATAAAAACATGAGGCATAGTACATATGAAATTAACATTTCCCCCCCTCCAATGGTTCAAAGAGCATAAGTGAAAATAAGGATTTGATTCAATATTCATACATTGTTATTTCAGTATAAAAATGATATTTAAAATGTTAATGAGATGTTTTGCCAGCTTTCAAATGCAGAACGCCACTTTGCAGTCCTGGCACATCTCAGTAGGGACAGCTGCACTCAGATGGTCAGCAGACACATGTGGTTCTTGGTCACTAAAGAGGACAGTGCAGGGCCACAGCCTTTTGTTTTGCTTTGTTTTGTCCTTTGTGTTGTGACACAGTGTCTCATTGTGGAACTCAGGCTGACCTCAATCCTGAGTGCTGGGATGGCTGGCCTGCGCCACCACGTTTAGCTGTAGGTTCATATGCTTCAGGGGAAGATCCATGGGCCAGCAGCATCTTGATCACCCAAAAGCATCTTAGGTGGAGACTTTTAAACATGACTCCCTCTGAACCAGAACATATGCTATAACAGTACATCCAGGTGGTCCCAGTGTACATAAGAGTGTATTGTTTACCTTGCTCTCGCTAATAAAAACCTTTCCAATGTGTATTCCTGGTAGAAATTTTCCTGGCAGTACCACTGAGACATCTGAATCTTTACCAAATCTCTGCTGTACAGGAAAAGGAGCAACAGCTCACCCCTTAAAATTCTAATTCAGCAGGCCTTGGGAAGAAACACATAATCTATATTTTTAACGACTCATAAATTTTATTAAGCAAATTTCGGAAAGATCAATATATCGATCTTAACATAATTTAATTCTAGTTCTTTTCGGGTATAATTTAGTCAATTTCAAAAAGTCTTTCTCAATTTAGAATTCTAATGTATTAGCAAGTGGTTTTCTAGAACACTGAGTAGAAATTTCCTGCCTGGCCTTAGCTCCCAGCACCTGTGGTGTGCATCCCTGTTCCCATGATTCATGGGACAGTCTTTGTCCGCTCCAGGGGTCCCTCCCTCAGATGAGAGTAGAAGACACATCAGGCGCGATCTGAACCCATATGGTCATTCTGCCTGAATACGGTCACAACTAAAAAAAATTACACTGAGATCTGTCACATTGTTCACAGATGCTAAAAGGAAAAAAAAAATGAAAAAAAAAATGAAAACGTCCAACACCCAAAAGTTAGAGTTAAGAAAAAAAAAGAACAATTTCAGATTTTTTTCCTAATTTGCTTTGTCTCTGTGCCCCTTTTGCTAGATGGAAAGGAATATGATATTTATGTTTCCTATGCAAGAAACGCTGAAGAAGAGGAATTTGTGTTGCTGACGCTCCGTGGCGTTTTGGAGAATGAATTTGGATACAAGCTGTGCATCTTTGACAGAGACAGCCTGCCTGGGGGAAGTAGGTGTCGCGCATGAGCAACACAGGTGCCACCCTGAGGGGTGCAGTGGGTCCTGAGTTTCTGGTGCATGAATGGGATGTAGCACAGTAATGGTGTTCAGATATTGAACGTGCAGTTCCTTCAGGTAACGGAGTCTTCTCCAGATGTACAGCCACAGTGCCAGGTAGACACTGTTCAGTCTAGTTTCTGACTTTAAAATTTTCCCTTGTAATCTCAAAGAGCTCCATGTCATGAAAGAGCCAGCCCTGAGGAAGTCAATCTCACTGGAAGTTAGATTTTCAAGAAGCCTTGGGCTGACATGCATATCATTTTCATTCATTTTCTTTAACAAAGACCAAGTGGAGAGAATGTTTCTTTACACAAACAAAGTTTTACTCCACTTACCTGGAACAGAGCTGCAGGACAGAGAGCGTCGAGCCTTTCCCCACTAACACAGCATGCCCTTTGCTTCTTTCTCATCCTTTCCTCACTTCTGAGCCAGCGAGCTGCTGCTGGCCAAATCTGCCTGTTCATTGTTTGTATCTCCTTTTCCAGCAGTGTGGATGTTTGAGTTTTAGCTTACAATGTGGAAGGCCGTTGAATTCTACCAAGTTTTACAAGGAAAAGCTTCAACTATTGAAATTTTAAAAACCAAGGCTTCTTCTTTTCAAGTCCAAACAGTAGCAAAAAGTTTGGACTCTTTTCAAGTCCAAAGAGTCATGGTTCATTCAGGAGTTTTGTAACAAGCATGTCAGCAACGCTGTTCAATTCCCTATAAGCCTTTCCTATCTGAAATAAGGGTACTGACTCCCATCTGCAGCAGAACGAGCTCTTTTCCTCTCTTTTTCCAAAGAAATCTGTTCACGATGACTCTGTTTTATACGTTTTTGAAATGCTTGGATAATTGATACCTGGAACAGTTTTCTTCTCATTCTGAGTTAATAGATCATCTTCCCTACCTGATCAGTCATCACCCCAAGCCTGAGCTTGTATTCTACAGAAGATCTCTCCTTGAGTGTCATTGTGCGATGAAATGATCACCTACATGGTAAAAGGCAAAGTTCTACTCACATTAATTAACAGTTTGCTTAACTCATTCATGCATCTATTGATTCGTTTACAACGTCAATCAAACTATCTTATCTACTATGTGAAGAGTGAATAAAAGGTGCACAGTATATATCTGGATAAGACCTACAGGGGACTAACAGTCCTTCAAAAGATGCAGAGTTATTCTTGCACACAGCAGGCCCTCTTCTCTTTGGATTCTTCCCGCTGCTCTTTCTGAAGCCACTTTGCTGCTGAACCTTGTCTACGATTAGACAGGGTCAGCCTCTGCTGGAAATGCTTAGAGGAAATACACACCTCTTCCTGGGTCCTCCCCCAGGCTGCACATGTTAGATTTTACCTGGCAAGTCCTTCCCTATTACTTCTGCACCCGTGAAGATTAAGAATGGAAATCACTGCAGAGGGGAATGTGATACAGGTTTCCACACCACCAGTGCACTGCCTGGAGCCAGCGAGCGAGCATCACTCCTCTAGGTGAAGGATTATGCGGGTCTCCTTGAGCATCTGTGAGCAGATAGATTAGTCTCAAGAATTCAGCAGCAGGAACTAATCAGAGCCCTTGAGTAAAATTAGCCTGTGTTTCCCTCTTTTCTACTTTGTTTTGTTCATCTAGGGGAAAGTGTTTGCTAGTGATTGTAAATACAGCAGCTAGCAATTGCTGAAGAAGGGCTGGCTTTCCAGGGCCGAAAGATTAAGGAGAAAGATCCATGTTCTGCTTTCATCTCCACCCCAGAGAAAAGGAAGGCGTTGATGTGAGAAAACACTGTTGGCCAAAATGCCATTTGTTTGCGTTACTAATGCAGCAACATTGTGACATCAGTTGGCATCAGGAAAGTACACATCTGTAGTCAGCTTTCTAGGGCCACCAGCCCCCAAATCATGACAGAGAAGCTCATTATTAATTATGAATTCTTGGCCTTAGCTTAGGCTTGTTTCTACCTAGTCTTTTTTTCCCCTTAAGTTAACCCATTTCTACTAATCTATGCGCTGCCCCAAGGCTTGTTTACCGCATCTAAATACTGTCTGTTCTGCTTTTCTGCTTCCTTCATGTCTGACTGGCTCCTGGCTGGCTGGCTGGCTAGCTGGCTCCCCTTTTCTCTCTACCCGCCAGTCCCACCTTTTCTTCCTCTGCTGAGATATTAGCTGTTCAACTTTGTATCAGACCAATCAGGTGCCTTAGGTAGGCAAGGTAAAACAGCAATACATCTTTGCATAGTTAAACAAATTCAGCATAAACAAAGGCAACACATCGTACCTAGATTAACAGTTATTCTATTCCACAACACCCATCAGCAGATGGAGACTCCACATTCTCTGCTCTTGCCCTTGGTTAGCTGCAACTGAAACTTGGGGACTTTGAATCTGCAGTACATGGTTTTTAATTCTTTTCATATGATGGCTTATTCTAGGGTATCTTTCAGGAGTCAGGTGGGCTGAGACACAATGCTGTTTGAAGAAACTGATGTCACTGCAATGTCTATCTTGTCCAAACAGTGCTTGTAAGGTCTGGGTGACAGCAGTCCACCATATTTTGGCCTTAGCTCATTTGGAAATATTTTGGGCATAGGGCATTTATATATAACTCCATTTTCCCTGAGCAGAGTGACGTTCGGTGGACAGTATGTTTGGATTAAAGATGAGTACTGTTGTTGGGGAGCGCATTACAGCTTTGATTCGCAGGCAGCCATTCCCAGTCCCCTCCCTGCCTTTGCTCCCTGAGCTCTGTGCATCAGGAGTTCCTGGCCAACACTAATCCCCGTGGTGTTTTCTTTCCCAGTTGTCACAGATGAGACCTTGAGCTTCATTCAGAAAAGCAGACGCCTCCTGGTTGTCCTAAGCCCCAACTACGTGCTCCAGGGAACACAAGCCCTCCTGGAGCTCAAGGCGGGCCTAGAAAATATGGCCTCCCGGGGCAACATCAACGTCATTTTAGTGCAGTACAAAGCTGTGAAGGACATGAAGGTGAAAGAGCTGAAGAGGGCTAAGACGGTGCTCACGGTCATTAAATGGAAAGGGGAAAAATCCAAGTATCCCCAAGGCAGGTTCTGGAAGCAGCTGCAGGTGGCCATGCCAGTGAAGAAGAGTTCCAGGTGGTCTAGCAGCGACAAGCAGGGCCTCTCCTACTCCTCCCTGAAAAATGTATGAAAGGGAAAGCGAAGGAGCGAAAAGAACAAATGGGCTCACAGGGGGAAGAGACCCCATCTTCCCTCCCAGGCTGTGGCTTCATAGATAGAAAGAGAACCCTGTCTAAGCCCCTCATAGGGAAACATCCTAGGGACTGTGTGACTGGCAGTTTGGCTTCTCAGGCAAACTTAAGGGTTAAAGAGCTGTTCTCTACAGTCTGTCGCCAGGTCTAAAGCCATTATGATCTTTGTAAGTCAAGATGTGTTCGATACATCCCCCGTCTCTGTTCCTCCCTCTCTCTTAATCTCCTTGTAAAAATGTCACCGTTATCGGAGCCCCTTTGCCCAGTGACTCAAAGCTCCTTTAAAGATAGGTTCCCTGCTGATGGGAGTACCGCCTGTTTCTCCGTAGGATTTTCCTTGAGTTTTATTTTATTTTCAGTCATCCATTGAACATGTCACCAGAGATTAAATCTATTTCAGCTGAGGATAATTCACTCCATGGCTTATTTGTCTGTTGAAACCACTGCCTAGCTCTTCCTCATGGCGGATTAAGTAGCAGACCACTTTCCTACTACTAAAACCACATTTCCCTCGTCTCAGGTAATGGATAGCATATTTATAAACTTGATAAAGTCACAGCAGCTTTTGCCTTATCATAGTAGCTTCTCAAGGGTGTACAGATAGAAAGGTCTATGCTTGTCACTCTATTTCCCTAACTATTGTGTCCATTGTCCACGTTTCATAGGAGGCACCAAACTTTTACTGGTGCTAATGGAAAGTGAGAAAATGCCAAAATGCTCTCAGAGCATTCTTGACACTGGAAGAGAACAGGGAGCAGGATATTTGTAGTTTGTCTTTTAATTCCAACTTTACTAATGTGAGAACCGGGGAAGTGGTTAATCCCTGCTCATTCGCACCACTTCATTATGAAGTGGAGTTGAGAGGGAGCGATTTTCCTTTTGGCATTACTATTCTAAAAGCACGACCGCATCCAATAATTTATTTACGAGTACATGTAGTACCTTGTTCCAAATAAATCACCCTGAAAGTCACTGTTGATGAAACTGGGGTTTTCAGTTTTAAGCAGAGTTTTACTTTTCTTCAGACTTCTAAAAGTGAAAACTAAGTACATTTATGTTTAGAGTGGCCAGTTTCTACATCGTTTCTAGCATGTGTGTATACATATATGTATTTATATATACATATACACACCTGTGATATTGGTACATGTGAATTTTGTGTGTGTATGTATATAGAAGTTCCCACAAACTATGTGTATGTGTGTATATCCACTTGCCTATAAATTATCTGTGTGTATGTATTTGGGGCTATACATAATTACACACATATATATCTTTAAACAGCCATTAGTATGATATTAAAAACCCGTAGAATTATTGTCCAGTTTTAAAATTACGTTTATAGTGCAATGGTTTTCTGTTGGTGCTTTCATTCCATTACTATTTTATTTGTCACTTCTTGGTTCTCTGTGTATAGTTATCTCAGATCTTGCCTCCCCTGGATTAATATGAATGATCCCACTGTTGATCTGGGTTGCAGGGCTATCTCTTGTCCAGGGATCTCTCATTGTCACTGTTCAACAGCAGGTAGTCACCTGATATCAGCTGATTTTCTACTATATTTCTTGCAAGACATATTTAGAGTCTAAGATACGTTAATCTCAGTGCTCAGCCGTGTGGATTACTGAGTGATGAAGAAAAACATACATAGCTATGAATGAGTCTGAGTATCCCATGAAACACAACTCCTAATTTAAGGAAGATTCTATCCAAGTTGTGTTAATGTTAATAAACAATTCTGAAATTTTCTCTTATTTTAAGTGGTCATCAGTACTGGTGTCTGCAATAAATCTTTGCTCTGTGTTAGAATTATTGGTTACTCTAAATTGAAAAGAGTTCCCTTGCAAATCTTTGACATAAAAGCTATAATATATAGTCTTTTTAAGTTTTTAAAAGATTAGCGCTTTTTGTTATTTCAAATAATTACCATTTCCATTAATAACCCTTTAATCACGGTACCAAATGAAAGCTGGCCCCAGATACGCTTTGAATGTTACTTCCAGCATGAGCTATAGGAAAGCAAGGGGCAAGCTCCTCACTGCAGGCCACTCTCTGCACTGTGTAGTTTCTGCCTGCTGGATTCTGTCTTCAGCCCAACTGCTGTTCTGTATCCCTAGAGATGCCTCATGGTTTCCTATTTATATTCTTCTTTGTTGTACTGACCCTGCTCCAATGCTATAGTGTAAAGCATCTCAAACCTAAAGAACGTATCTCATCCTAAGAAAGCTTAGTTTCAAGACTCTTGTCTGAGCTTCAGAAGATGCTCCATACAGAATAGCAGAGCTCTGGAGGAGGGGTCGCACACTTGTCCTTAGAGGGCAAGAAGATACATCATGTCTCTTATGGATAAAAAACACCCTCCATAGTTTTGGGTTTATGCTAAAGGGAACGTCTGCACCCAGGTTAACAAAGAACCATGCTATATAAAATGTCTACTTACACAGCCACATGTGGTTTATTTAATTGTCTTTTGTACTTTAAATGACTCCCTGGGATTCTAATAATAAAGTACTGTCCTCTACTGGGAAACAAAGCATCACTCCACTTGTTACTTACGCATTTGGTTTCCATAGGTTTTAGTATTTTATGACTGTCTTTTTAATTTTATTCATACACATTTGTATTTTCCATTTTCATTTGATTTGTATATTTTCATATTTTTTACAATAAACCATTTATTTTCAACTTTGAATTTTATTTTGTGCATGTGTTTTGTGTTCTTATATTCATGTTTAAGATTGAGAAATAAAAGGAAAAAAGAGCAATTATGCTTACAAAACTAAACGAAAAAAGTTATAATAGCAAAATATTTATTGAGGAATAAGAAAAATGTGAACTTTGTATCAAGAAAATTTCCTCTGCATATGAGTAAAAGAATTGCTTAAGTAGAGTGAATAGTCCAGGATATTAGATGAGTGGGGGCGGGGAAGCAAAAGCCACATGTAGTGATTACTTTAAAACAAAACCACAGTTATTTCTCTGGTTTCAGCTTCAAATGCCACTAATGCACAGAAAAGTCTTACTAGTCAACAAAAGGAAGGAGCCAGGATGCATGGACCACAGCCAAGAGGACACAGTTTTCTATTCAGTTAATAAACAACTGTCAGGCAGAATTGAAAGGCAACAAAATTCTCTACTGTGGGCATCTAGATTCTCCATTCTAGGAAATATGCATTGTATTACATTTTGTATGTGGATGTTTTACATTGACTGCATGGTAACCAGTCTTAAGTTGCTTCACCCTTCAATCCATTTAGAAGACTTGGGATTGGCATCCATTGCATTAGTGTCATCAATCTCATTATCACTTGCCTATTTAAATTTCTCAAGACATTTTCTCCATCCAGTTGTCTACATCCCTAACCAGATCTTTCACACAAGCCAAGTATGCAGCACGGAATGAAAGACATGTTCAGCAGCTAACCTACTGTTTCTTTTGAAGCATTTTTAAAGTTATATTTTATGTATTTATTTTCTGTCCCTATGTGGGGATGGGTACGTACTTGTCAGTTCTCGTATTCTGCCCAGGGATCAAACTCAGAATGACAGACATTTTCACCTACTGACTCATCTCACTGGCTCTGATTTTTATGTTTTGGCCAAATTATAAAATTAACTGGTATATTTATTGATTTTTTGTCAGTTATTGATATAGTTTTAGAATATGAACCTGGTAAATTCATGATAGTAATGAGGTTTACATTTTCTATGCATTTAGTTTATAATAGCTGCAGACAAGAATAATTACTATTAATACAGTCTCACAATCTCTTTGACCATTGCTAATTTTTGTTATGGCCCTACACCTTTGCTTTTATCATATGTGTTTTGTAGAAGAATAGACTCAGATATAAAGGTATTAAAATAAAAAAGAGAGATCAAGGAAAAATAAATAATTGAATTCAGATGGTTCTTCAGAGTTGCTCTGTTTGTAAAAGGGAGGACAGACAGCATGAGAAGGGAGGTTTTTCTATAAAAACCCTAGCAAAGAAAAATCATCAGATTCAAGGTTTTCTTGTAGATGAATATGACTTCCATGGCTACTACAATTTTTAAAGGCATGCTTTTCCATAAGGATTATAGAGTTCTGAATCAGAACCAAAGCTTAAAAACATCCTAATGATTCAAAGAAATGAATCCCTTGCTGTATAATCAGACCTCATTCTTCTGAGCCCAACAATAAATCACCTAATTCATGATGCCTCTACACAAACTCTAACATCACCCTCATCTTCAAATGTGAAGCTTTGAAAATCTGGGAGGAGTTTTAAAAAGCATAAAAGGAAGCTGCTTGTTTGTAAAATATGAAGTGAAGATCTGAGCACAAGAGAATCCCCATCTTGGGAGCAGCCCCAGTCCTTTGTCGGTGTCTGTTTCCATCACTCAGATCTGGATCCACACTGTCCTCTTCCAAATGGAAACCTTCCACTTTGTTGAAAGGTGCAATATTATTTTTTTTTAATCCCACAATCCAAGACGATGTTTAAGATCTGTCTTTTACTTCCATCCATGGTTCACCCACTGAAAACAACACTACCATTATTCCTAACATCATCGTTTGGCTAAAGTTACATGCACACTTGTGGGATTTGACTGCTTCCTATGTTGGAAATCTAGCCATATTGTCCTATTTTCTAGGTTATTTTCTATTCCTCATGATCCAGGTAAAGCAACAGACTCCTCACAGGTGTGTTCTCTAATATATTAAAGGCATTTCTTCAAACCTGAGTAAGGGGAAATGAGACAAAAGAGTTACCAAAATGCACACATTCAGACATGCACATCTGCATACACACACATGGTTTTGAGAACTGAACATTTAAATCTTTCAATATCAGAACAAAAGCTTCTTTCCCTGATTAGAAAGAATGAATGGGGAAGGATCCTGGCTTCCTCATTGCTCTCAAGTTCATGGCGATCATACTCACTGCAAATTCTCATTGTCTTTTGGAGACAAAAAAAAAGCAAATCCAGCCTCAACACTGAAGGCCACGTGCTTTCAAAGTTGTCAGCAGTAAACGTTACACGGGTAGGATTTCTTTCCCATGATCTAAGACCCTTCTCTAAGTCCCTGCATTCCATACTGGGTTAGATACTGCATTAATTGGAGGAAGTTTCCTTTGGGTCCTATCCATATCCCCTCAGCAAACATTAGAATCAAGTACTCTGCCAGAAGTCTTAATTAATTGACTGATTCTTAACTACCATGGTGGCATTTGGCTCTTTAATTGACTCTACGCCACTTCTTTACACACACACACACATACACACAGGAGAAAGGAAAGCAAGAGAAAATTGAAGCAATAAAGATGGGAAGACAGGAAGGAACAAACAAGGAAGATAGGGCATTTTAGTTGATAGAGATCAATCCTGTGCCCAAAATGTTACGTACCAGGGGCTGGCTGCAACTCAAGATCTAGGGAAGTGGTAATTCCCCTGGTAATTTGACAGTCAAATATTCTGAAGAAGTAAGTATGTTCATTGTTATCTAAAATATTATTATTCTAGAAGACATATATACAGTTTGAGTTATTATTCACAGGAATGATGATGATGATGTGATGATGATGATGATGATGATGATAAGGGATGGAGGGTCTGGAAGTTATGTCTGGTATAGGATAAGAGTAAATACCTGAAGTCACATGATCCAGCGATAAGAAGAAGCTACAGTAGCATCACAATAGCACCTAGCTCCTTTGAGATTCTCTTTGAAGACATCTGGTCTAAGGCCACCAGATAAAACTAAAGGAAACGAGAATTCTAAAACAAGAAATGCTTTACAAACAGAGAGTAGGCTGCTTTCTGAAACAGTTCATCTAATTCTCATTCCCTTTATCTTCATGATCTATCAGGGGAAGATATTTTCATGGCATTTTTTAATAGGGGAAGAGACTATCTGCAGTGGAAGGAGGTGTTGTGTAGGGAGAGAGATTAAGTTCAAGTGACTCCTCTTTCTAACAGGGAACAAATTCTTAGCAATTGTCAGTAAGAATGGTGTGGATGAGATGACTTGATTTCTTAGTTTAACACTGATATTCTATTTTCTCAAAAACGTGTGCATGCCCATCGTTGGCGGATCAGACAGTGACCAGCTGGGTGTGAAGACATCATTACCAGATGCTATGCTATCTTTCCATTTCCCTATAGATACGGTGGAAGCCGTGTTTGATTTCATTCAGCGGAGCCGAAGGATGATTGTTGTCCTGAGCCCCGACTATGTGACAGAAAAGAGCATCAGCATGCTGGAGTTTAAGCTGGGTGTCATGTGCCAGAACTCCATTGCCACCAAGCTTATTGTGGTGGAGTACCGTCCCCTCGAGCATCCCCACCCAGGCATCCTGCAGCTGAAGGAGTCTGTGTCTTTTGTGAGCTGGAAGGGAGAGAAGTCCAAACATTCTGGCTCCAAGTTCTGGAAGGCCTTGCGCTTGGCTCTTCCCCTGAGAAGTCTGAGCGCCAGCTCAGGCTGGAATGAGAGCTGCTCTTCTCAGTCTGACACCAGTCTGGATCACGTTCAGAGGAGAAGTCGGTTGAAAGAGCCCCCAGAACTCCGGAGCTTAGAGCGTGTGCCTGGAGTAGCGCCAACCCAGGGCATCGTATCCAAGCACCGAGGGAAGCCCTCCGCAGCCTGTCGCTGCTGTGTCACCTACTGTGAAGGAGAAAGCAAGAGCCTGGCAGAGATGCATACCCAACCCCAGTGGGAAACACACCTCTGTAAGCCTGCTCTCCAAGAGTCGGAAAATCAGTGGATACAAAACGACACCAGACCCGAGTCAGCTCCCCAGATTGCAGCTCTTGCACGACACCAGTTTACAGATTTATCCAATAACAATGACTTTTATATTCTGTAATCACTTTATGTGGAGGGTGGCGGCTGCTATTTCTACCAACTCTCCCTGGGTCACAAACATTTGGGAATAATTGACATTTTTATCATCTAATAGACTATCAGATTTGTGTCCCCTTTATTGATTTCTAAAAACTATTTGTTTCTAGGAGACAAAAGACCGGAAGCACCTGAATGCAGTTATTGCCTCTAACGGCCTCGGAAGAGCACACTCTTCTCGGGCCCTAGAAGGTCAGTATGTAAAAGTTGCCTAGTGTCTGATCTTGCCCAGCGGTTTAAAAGTAGCTCAGAACTGGGGTTTCCTTATGACGTGGGTCAGTAAAGTATACTTGGGCATTGACAGAGGGTGTGTGTACCCAAGGGAACAGGGCTTTGGCACTCACAAGGTGTGTGTACCCAAGGGAGCAGGGCTTTGACACAGGGTGTATGTACCCAAAGGAACAGTATTTTGACATTCACAGGGTGTGTATACTCAAGGGAGTGAGTTGAAAAGGAGCAGGTTCTGGTGGATATTGTAGGGCAGCGCTCAGCAGCAAACCTACAGCACATTTTGCCCTCCTCCTCCCCCCAGGATCAAACTTTCTCAGAGAAATTTATGCATCCTATCGCCTTCCTGTAAATAGTGTGCTCTGAACTTCCTAATGTTGTCAGTCTTAATAAAGGTATATTTTTATGTCATGTCTTTTGTACTAACAGATTTCTAATCCCCTCTCCTCATTTTGCATTTTCTGACTTTTATATTCAAATCTAAACAATATTCCAATTCAAGAAATTGAGATTTGGATTAGGTAGAAAATGTAAAAGGTGATTTCGTTTTGTTTTGTTTTCTTTTCTTTTTCTGGTGTGTACCTATGAAAGTACCAAAGACACTGAGTTGGCATTCTATGAGAAGTGGAGCTTAAGTAAGGATCTTGCTTCGTTAGGACCACAGCAAAAAAGTTTGGTATCAGAATGAAACTGTAAGTAGGGTTTGGCACTTACACCCTTCCTTCAAGATTTTGAAAAGGGATGTTGAGCTCACATGCTTCCCTCCTAGGGGCAGAAGGTAAGAGAAAAGGAAGAAAGAGGACAGATGTAGGTTTAACTCCCATTGACTCCATCCAACAGCAGCAGAATAGAGTGCAGGTTCAGAGTAGCAGACTTTTCTGCAAACATTCTAATTACTATAAAAGGCTCACGGCAATTTATTCCCAAGTCGGGGTTCTACCAGCATCCCTTGAGCTTACAGATAACTGATGAACACATGAGTGCTCACTCAGCTCTGCTTGTTCACACTGAATTAGACCCTGCAAGGCAGATCATCCAGTCGCTTTTATGAGGTCCCACACATTAATATTTGAATGCATGCTTGCAATTATATCCTGGCTCAAATTTATAAAAATAGAGTCAAAGAGTAAAACTAAACAAAACAAAACAGGCCAAACAAACAAACAAACAAGCAAAAACCCTTCATCTGTGAGATATATTCATCCTGAAGGTCACAAGTATGTAATTTCTGGACAAACATATTCAGCCGAAGAATGTATGCTGAAATGGGGGTGCAAGTGCCATTGGCAACTGTGGCCTTGGAAGTGTAAGTTGGCTATGAGAACACGTGGGAAGTGGGTATTCCCTCTCCACGCTGAAAACATCTGGCCTTCTTAATAGAACTGATCCGATAAATCCTCCAGCCCAAAAGACAGCTGAGAATCTGTGTATCTTCTTGTGGCTCTGTATGCTCCGTGTTTACTTTAAGAGCATTACAAGCACAAAATCTGCTGCTTCTGAACAGAAGTAAATCAAAACAACAGCAGACAATATTCAATGCAAGAAGTCACCTTTCATACAGCAGCCTCTTGCTGCTAGTGTGCTGGGTTCAGAGACAACCTCTCCACCAAACACAATGGGAATGGTAGACAGATAAAGCACAAGGGAGAAGCCTGCATTTTTTCAGTTGAAACAAGAATAGCCCTGTCTAAAACATTAGTCACTGTGGAAGATCTGCCCAGATGTGATACTCAGCAGACAAGACTTAGCACCTCCTAAGGTCTCATTTCAGGTTGCATCGTTTTCTAAAGAGATGTTCAAATGCCTCAACTTAGCTGCCAGAAAATGGGTAATACACAGGGCTTCAAATTCTGTGAGGGGAGGAAATAATCTTATTATTAACATTCAAACTGTAAAATACCTTTGGAAAATTTAAGAAATTACTTTGTCAATTATGCACAATATTTTAAACATTTTCAAAAGTACACCTTGCAAATTTCATCCATGATGCTAGAGAGGTGGATCAGTGGTTGAGAGCTGACTGCTCTTACAGAGGAACCTAGGCTTGGTTCACAGCACCTACATGGTGACTCATAACTGTTTGCACCCAAAATTCCAGGAAAGTCAATGACTCTTGCCTTCTGAGGACTTCTAAAAACATGGTGCGCATACACAGAGTTAGCACACAAAATGCAAGTAAATAAGTATTAAAAATATAAGTGACTGAAGAAAAGAAAAAAATCATGGCTGTATACAATGAAAGATGCTCATAGTCACTACTAGGCCCCTTGGCAAACTCTCCCTTAATACTGATAGCAAGTTCCTCTCTCAACTTCAAGTCTTAGAAAAAGAATCACACACTAAACCCAGCTACCAATATGTATATAGATGTAGGGCCAGAAACTGAAGCTCCAGTGCCACTGACCCAAGAAGTGTGTTTGTCCCTAAACATTGCTTGCACCGCAGCTCTGCTGCCCTTCATGCTAGAGTGTGGTTGGCTTGTGCAGGGAACCACAGCTGCTCTGAGTTTGCAAGTACAACAGTCGTCTCAGGTCTAGAACAAAGTATCTCACACCAGTTTTTTTTTTTCCTATTTTACAGCTTTTATAACTTTTTCTGCCTCCTCTTCCACAGTGTTCCTTAAGCCTTGGCCGGGTGATTGGTAAAGTTGCCCTCTTTAAGGTTGGGTAATCACAATCATTTATTATCACACTGATGAGTTATGAGTATTTGCACTGCAAAAAGAGGTTTTTGACCAGCATAAGTCTATGGTTATAAATATAACTATTTTGAAGGCAACTGATTTGATAATGCAACCATTTAACAGCATAGAAAGTTCCACCTAAGGTAAAGCCTATGCATCTCCCTAACCACAGAGTTTGACCATATTTTAAATACCAGGCATGTATTAAATGCCAGACATGTTGCAGGCCTCAAATCCAATCAGAAAGTAGTTGGTTACTCCATAAACATAATGCCACCGTTGCAGCAGTGAACGTGTCTTGCTTGGGAGGTTGGTATTGTGTCATGCAGTGTTCAGCGTTGAGTAAGACAGTTGAGATTTTTTTCCTCCAGCAGCCTGCAATAGCACCTTCTGACCCTATGGAAGCTAGTCAACAAACAGAAATTTGCCTGGGAGGTGTCAGATTGATGTCTCTAGGTCCTGCAGAATCATTTTCTTAGAAAGCGAAATAAAATAAAATAAAATAAAGAACTAAAGACAGAAAAGTGAATGTGAAATACAAGTTCTGTTAAACAGCTGTGTAATTTTGGTACTCTCAAAGCTAAATTTTTATAGTGATTTTCTTTAAAAGATACAAGCACACAGTTAACAATATAAAGTCATACTTTTGGGTATTTGGCTACCTAAGAGTCTGGAAGACAATGACCTATATTTTAAGTTTATGAAAAAAGACTCAGAAATTAGCATTATTCTTTGATCCATCATGCCACAATAGCGTGATAGTCAGTATCATGTATTTCAATGTAAATAAAAAGAAATTTTACTTATGGACCATGGCTATCTATCTTTGAAATGGTGTCATTGTTGGCTAAGTTGACATGTCATTATGTAAGAATTTATTTTTTTCTATTTAGAAACATGATTTTAAAGTTAAGTGAAGTCTTCTTTATCTCTTTTCTCTTTGGCTATGATCTCTCTGAGCCTTGGTGTTCTGCTAGCTAAAACAGGAGTAATATTATTAATCTCACTAAATGTTTTGAGCATTAAATGACATTCTACAAGCTTAATTAGTATGCAACACCTCTTTTTTAAATTTGTCCTAATTCAACACAGAACAAGAAATTATATCTAGGGTGAGTGTCTTTCTCAATGGTGCCCAGATAGCACCCTAAGCTCAGCTTCTAACATACATCCCAGTGCCAGTTCTCAAACCAACCCTGGTGGGTGAATGTGAAAGGATTTTTTTCCAAGCCTCCTACGTGGAACTATTTTATCATGACCATGTATATCACAATATAAAAAAACAGGCACATCAGAGTTTTATGTAGGAACAGAATAAATAGAATGGAGTGTTTGTGTGTGGGGGGGAGCAGGTCTATTAGAGTGGCTTTTAGTCTCTGGTCCAGGTAGTCCAGTAATATCTGTCTGCCAACAGAAAGGCCAAGAATTCAGTAGTTATTCAGTTCACAAGGCTGGATGAACAGGTGTTGGCATCATAAAATTTTAAAGAACTACTGGTCTTTAGTCTGCACTAGAACTTAAAGAAATGGGTTATACAACCAATGAAGGGGGAGGGGTGTCAGCAACAGCATGGATGATTTTGCCAGTAAGAGTGAAGGCAAGCAGGCAAAAAGCAAATACTTGCTTCTTCAAAGGACTTTTACAAAGACTGCCAGCAATAGGTGTGGCCCAGACTTAGTATGGGTCTTTCCATGTCATGTGATAGATAGCACCAGGAAAACCCATCACTAGCATGACAAGCTACTTGGGTTTTAGTTGATGTTGGATGTATTCAAATCGACAACCATAAGCCATTACAAGAAAGATCTACACAGAGTTGTGTTATAGCAAGTATCTAGTGGATCATCTAAACTTGTTGTATTATGATTTTATACAAATTTGCTTTCATATATAGTAACATTAAAAACTAGAATTGTTGTCCTCTGGACTTTAAAATCATGCTTTTAAATTTTCCCAAAGTAAATGTAAAAGTGTATTACCTGTGTACATTAAAACCAGAATTTAAGGTTTTGAAGCTGTGGCACACATTATGAGTTCCTCCTCTTACAATTACTAAGACCTCCAGTAATAATAAATTTCCTTCCAGACAGGTGATTTGAAGTGATTGGATAAACTAAGATTCCAGGCTAGAAATAACTTGAACTAATTATTACAACATGCACAAGGTAAATAAAGAGATAATGTTTGCAAACTGTCGTGTCTCTGGGAGTCCCTTCGGGAGCACCTCCACACTGAAGACATAAAAACAGCTCCTTCACTACAGTGGTGTTTTCATAAGTTGGGGCACACAGTCTATGTGTCTGCCTTTTTCAAGTGTGCCTTTGGTAATTTGAATAAGGTAGGTACCCCATGGGTCTTACGTGGAAAACTATTGCCTACAATACTCTTTAACACTTTTCATATTTCCTATAGTGTAGTTCAGATTGTGAGAAAGAATCAATTGCCCTAACCTTGACAAGCTCCGGTCTCTGAGGCCCTTATATCAGAACCATTTGTACTCACATGGAAATGCCCATTTCCTACTGCTGCTTCAAACGATGAACGCAGTGAGTGTCACAAAGGCGGGGCAAAGCATCGCTAAGGCGGGGCACAGCATCACTGAAATTTTTCAGGGGATTCTGATGCACAGATTGTTTAAGAACCATTAATTTTTACCTCTCTTTTACCCTTGTAGGCTCTGATTTTCTCCAGCCAAGGAGGACTACAAATCATCCTTTTAACAAAGTGTTTGCAGGCAATAGCTGAAAATAAAGGGCCTGTTTAGACCTTGGAATTGTCTCAGCACAAGCAAACAATCAAATAGAGTGGTTGGTAGAGTGTATTGACAACCCATGAACTATCTAACACTGCTTTTTGGAACTTGGTGGAAGTGTTCCAGCCATCATCTCTACTAGAGTAAGATAAGCTATGCTGGTCTAAGATTTCAATAACTTCCCATCACATATCTTACTTTTGCTGATCCTGAATGTCCAGCATAGGGGCTTGCAGGTTTTTGTATGTGTGTGTTTGCCTTGTGAAATGTGTAGCTTGCAGTTGCCCTATAATTGAACTTAAACGGACACCTCTTATTTCTTTTCCTTATGTTTTATTTACTAGAACTATTGCCAAGGTCCTGATCCAATAATATAGAAATTTACAAAACATGTTCTACAGTCACTAGCAAGGGAAAATTACATTGACCTTTATGAACACGTAGCATTGTCTTCTTCTACAAATGAGATAAGATTGAGATATTTAGATAGGGTGAGGAAGCAAAGAGGGATCTTCGATCTTCTTTCTGTTACTTCATATAATAAAACAACAAAGGGCTCTGATGCTCACATCCAACCTGAGTATGCCAAGTAATCAAGATGAAAGTCCACACAGAAAAGAATAAAGCTTGCACGTAAGTGCTCCCTAATTGAACGTTGTTGACAGACATCATTACAATAATTACAGTTTCTGCTTATAAGAAGAAGCATGTTCTATAAGTTGAATGATATTATGTTGAGTTACTTTCTATTTAGTGGCTTTGGTTAGTACTCTAAGAATGTGAGGCTCAAACTGTCTGCAAATGAGCCGTTTCATTTTGGAAATTCAGGGAGACTCAGAAGAATTGAAGGCATTTAGAACACAGTAGAGCATGTAACATGGTCATTAGAAAGCATCATTGATCCATTTATCTAAAGAGTTAAACAGGGAATTCAAACTGAGGGTGCTGAAGCTCAGATGAGCTCAGGGGAGACCAGTACCTGTGGGTATCATGGAGCCTGTGACTCCTTTTCTTGCATTTTCTTTCTTTCTGATTGGGTTCTATTGACATTAGGTATCTGAATTTTATATATTTTTTTAATGTATACAGTATTATTTGGTAATAGCTAAAAGCTCTCTATAATTTGGCAAAAATTAATACTTCAAGTCTTAGTTCATGAGGACGCAGTGTTGCACAAAGAAGAATTTTGCTTCTCGGTGTCATAGGGAAATTATTCACTAGCTAAAATCCTTCTAAGAATAGTTCACATAGTTTTGCCTTGAGTACGTCAAACATTTAAAAATACTAAAGTGTGAAGAATGGCTTTCTGGAAGATATACAGGGTAGAAAGATGAAAGTATGTGAACAACATCTGCTAGCAGATCCTGAGCTCTGCTCTTTCCCTGGATGACTGTTCTTTCAACACTTTAAAACACTTTCAAACCATGTTTAATGGACCAGTTCTCTAGTCTCAGTACTCAGGAGGAGAAAGCAAAAGGATTATGAGTTGGAGACCAGTCTATGCTACAGAGTTCATTCCAGGTCTACCTGAGTTATATAGAGAGACCACATACTTCAAAATAGAATAATAAAGTAACTCCTGATTTCCATTTATTTAACCCACTGATTTATTTTCAACAGTGACAGCTAAGTCACAGGATAACTGTGTTTTACCTGCCAGGGCAAGTGATGCTGAGCCAGAAGTAAACTTAGTCATGGAGGCCAACTGCACATACTGGCAATGTGCCCCAGAGAGCCAAATCTCCCCCAAATGCTTGAGAAACCTAATATTTTCAAGGATGATGGTTTGAAGGATCTTTATAATTTTTGAATAAGAGTTGATGAAAATTCAGTAATAATGTCTTGTATATATGGAATGAAAGGGTAAAAAAACCCACTAATATAACAGATAGTATTCTTCCTCCTTAAAGGGTAAAATGTGAAACTCATTGTCAAAGGCTAGAAGTGAATTATTTGTCAATGGGTAAAGAAATCTTTTTGCCTTTTTAGGTCTTTGATTTCATATTGTTTGCATTCTGGATTAGGAGAGGATAATAATAAAGAACATAAAGTTGTAAAAGTAAATAGAGCTTCTAACCTGAATAACCAAAGAAGACAATGGTCTTAGTGTTTATTATCTTCACATTATCAGTCCCCTGAAGCAGAAAAGAGTGTATAAAGTCCAGTCACTTGGTTAGTGGCAAATTTCACTAAATGATATCTAAGAAGAAACTGAAGAAAACAGTGAAGACTATCAAGCCTTGTTTCCCTACTTTGAAGCACCAGGATGAAAGAAAAAAATGTAAAATCTCTTTGGTATCGACTAGAGTAAGGTGTTGGGTAGGTCTCAGGGCTTAGAGAACAAAGATAGACAGTTATTTCCATTTCAAGCTTGATATTATATACAATATTAACTTTGGAGTCAGTACATATGATTTGGGATACTAATTATAATAGTGAATGTGCATTTCAATAGCACATGTTTGCTCTCCAATTCTGTTTCTTCATGTTAAGTGCAAATAATATCTACCTCATTGAATTGTTGTAAGGGTAAAATTAATCAATAAATGTGAACTTCTGAAACCTGTAACTACACATGTGGTGATGGCATTGTTTTGTCGTCGTTGTCGTCATCATCACCACCATCACATAATCACACAGTCACATTCATCTCCTCCTCCTCCTCCTCATCACATAATCACACTCATCTCCTCTTCCTCATCATTATCTCCACCGTCACCATCATCACACAATCACACTCATCTCCTCCTCCTCATAATCACATAATCACATTCATCTCCCTGTCTTCCTCCTCATATCACCAACATCATCTCATAATTACACTCACCTCCTCCTCCTCCTCATCATCATCACCATCACCATCATCACATAATTACACAATCACACTCATTTCCTCTTCCTCATCATCATCACATAATCACATTCATCTCCTTATCTTCTTCTTCATTATCACCACCAACATCATCACATAATTACACTCACCTCCTTCTCTTTCTCATCATTATCACCACCATCACCATCATCACATAATTACACTCACCTCCTCCTTCTCCTCTTCCTCCTCCTCCTCCTCCTCCTCATCATCATCATCACATAACCACATTCACCCCCTCCTCCTCCTCCTCCTCACCACCACCATCATCACATAATCACACTCAT